TGCTGAAATTCCAGATGGCTCACTTTCAACTAACAATTATTTCACTGTTTTGAGTCCTTTCTCTATTTTTTTCTTATACTCCGATGAATTATCTTTGCCAAAATCACACAAAGTTAAAATCATAAGAAGTTCAATAAGTAACAATGTATACATAAATTACTAATTCTTTTCCATTCCAAAGAGTAGCTATCTGAAGAAGATCCAGTTTTGTATAGAGGCATATTAGCCATCAGCAACTACCTTTCATTGTTATCATAAAACTTTGGGTTATCACGAAACAAGTACTGCAAGTGTAGAAAAGTGCTCCTGGTTTAAACACTTTATCTAACCTACCTATTGCTCTAAACTGAGTGATGTCTTCACAGGCAGACTTCTGGGACAGACGTCATCATAGGACCACGCCCTTGGTAGCAGCATGTTCACAGAATCAAGGTACAAAATGGTTCTTTAGAAAGGCAACAGCCACCAACAGCAGCAGCCTAGTTTTGCCAAGTGATTCTTCCTAACCACTTCCTCAGCAAAAAGAAAAAAAAAAAAAAATATATATATATATATATAAATTCTTTGTAACCACTCCAGGGAGTGCTTAATGATCTTCTCCTTTTAAAATCTCTTGAACACTCCACTGAAGGAGCTGCCCAAACCCCTTTACATGAATTACTGAAGTTTAGGTTTTTAAAAATTTATTATCATCTTTCCCTACAGTTTAAAAGAAAGAGAAATTAAACCTCTCATTCAAATGAGAGAAATCACATTACTATTTCACTGAGAAAGAGAAAAGTAGACTATTAGTAAAATCTGTTTTATATCTTAGCATTTATGTAAATTATTGTTTCCTTAGGGCAAATGGCTGGCTTATCTCTAGGGAATAAAACTGACAAGAGGTGTTGAAAGTACTTAGCTAGCTACGAAGGATTAAATTTTTTTACATATAATTCTCTAATAAAACCCATGACAGTAGACAGATATGGGCTTCCCCCAGGGGCTCAGTGAGAAAAAAATCTGCCTGCAATGCAGAAGATCCAGGTTAGATCCTTGGGTTGGGATGATCATCTGGAGAAGGAAATGACAACCAACTCCAGTACTCCTGCCTGGGAAATCCCGGAGGAGCCTGGTAGGCTACAGTCCATGGGGTCACAAGAGTCGGACATGACTTAGCAACTAAACCACCACCACAACCCCTTTCATTTTTGTTAGAAAAGGAAATAGGTCTTCCTTAACTGAAATTTTGGAAGGCAAAGCTTTCTCCACAAAACAGCAATTAGCAATATTACTGTTAGATAAGTTAACATTAATTTGCTTCACCAGTTTATGTTTTGTATCTTGGCGATAGTTTACATACCACTGCACAGCACTTAGAACTAGGACTTGTGTCATAATTTAAGTAGCCAAAGTATACAGCTAACACGGTGCACTTTGATATTCTTATATATTTAAAGGTACAACATATAACTTCCCTAGAAAATTCAGTGAGTATACTCAGGCCCGTTTTAACACCCCTGTTATAAGCAATAATGAGTTGCTCCTCCACCCACCAAGAACCTGAAAGGACAAGTGCTTTTATTTATGTTACACTAACACACAGTAGTTATTAACAGATGTACTGATTTCCAGTCTAAGAAAATTGCAAAACAATTTGAAACTTTATCAGTTACATTAAACCAGTGAAAGGGCATCAATGAACAGGGCTGACCAGCATCAAAACACCTAAAACAGGGATTTCAGTGGGAATGTAGGGAGAGACGAGAAAGTTTCCATAAAGAATATCTCTAGTAAGGGGAGAGATACTACATCTGGTATAGAGGAACAATCAGCTTTGTTGAAAGACAAGGTCTGTTCATTTCATACATACCAAGGTCTGTTCATTTCATATATACCAAGTAATCTTCTGAACAAGAATTTAGCCTCTCAGGAACTCTGATACCATGAAATGGGATAGAAGAGAACACTAGTTTCTGTACAACATAATATACATCCTCACAATTCAATAAGGTAAGTACTATTACTACACCCATTTTACAGATGAGGAAAGTACGGTATATAGAGACTAAACAGTTGTTCAAGATCACACAGGCATTTAAGTTGTATAGTTTGAATCAAAACCAGGTAATCTGGTTTCAAAACCAATATTACTAAGATCTACAGAATTTTCAGCGTCTCTAAGAGTCATAAACACAAGTCCAACTTGCTAATGTGCTTATTAAACTTCAGTGAGTTACTCTGAATATTTTGTAAATAGTATAAATGATAATTTACATGTTTTTTTTAGAAAACAACAAAAAATTATCTGCTTGGTGGACACAGTGCTCTTGTATTCACAGAGCACTTAAAGCTCTTCATAGAAGCAAAGTAGAAAAAATTTCCAATTTTATATTAACCTGTCCTGAAAATGACTTATAAGAATAATACACATGGAATTTCTACATATACAAAAAGTTAGTACTGTCAATATTCACTATAAGATACACTGGGTCAACACTGCATGAGAAACTATCTTGGGGGAAGGTCAGCTTTTGTTTTTCCTGATTTAGTTTGCAATATATAAATATATAAATAGATGCCAAGAGGCACTAGCTGTTTAGTCTGTGACCTAATACCATTTCCTACTGTTGAAATTCTTAAAGGGCTGAATACCAGTCAGAGACCACAAGAGTTATTTTTTATTGATTCTCTAAGAGCTCTCATTCCAGCAACATAAGTAAAACAGAATTAAGTTTTCTGTAAAATTAACTACTAAATGGGGTTAAGTGGATAACTTGATTGAATAATGCTTTCATGTAACTTGAAAAATTGAGAATAAATATTTCAACTACCTAAACAGTTGAAATAATCTTTAAATTATATTAGAATTATTTATAGAAATGTAATATAATTGGGAAAAATCAGAAAATATTCATGAAGTCTTTTTCCTGAAAGAATGTATCTTGAGTACAAACAACTTTGGAAATTCATTTGTGTTTAGTTATCAACAAATGTTAATGATTCTGTTAATATTCAGTTTTTCATGAAGAAGATAAAAATCTCTATGATGGTAACACGTCTTAGCTTACCAGAACTCCATGGACGTAAATGAATATTTTTTATAACTCAGCATGCAGACTCTTTTAAACTTTTTTGCTTTGTCTTTCCTTCTTATCGTCAGCTATAAACAGTGACAGTGTTAAAATATTGTGTGTGATTTTTCTTTTAAAATAGATATTCCCACCTCCATAGATGCATCTCTTTTTTGGTAACTCAGTCATCATCTCAAGGTGGGTGAACTTGAAGTTCATAGTGCCTAAGTTAATTTTCGTTGTTCCTACAATATCTGAAAGATGAGTGAAAATAGGCACTTGACATTTTAAACTTATGCATGTTAAATTTTTGGCTACAATATATATTCTTGAACTATATTTCTTTTAATGTGTTTAATATATATTTAGTATGATGGTACATGAAAAAATAAAATATATCAATCTTAAATGTTCTTCTAAAGATAAAAGTTATAAATAATCTTGTATTAGGTATCTAAAGAATCTTTGAAGTCACCTAGGATAAAAAGTGGACTATTGTGTTTATGGTCAGTTTAATGGAAACTACATTAGCAACACTTTACGATGTGTTTATTCTTTAGAGTTAGTCAAGATTTATTACTATTATTATTTACTATGTTAGATGCAAAAAATAAGTTCACTACACAGTTGGAAGTTTCAGTCTTTTAAAAAAAAAATCACTGTCGCCACTATGGAGAACAGTGTGGAGATTCCCTAAAAAACTGGAAATGGAACTGCCATATGACCCAGCAATCCCACTGCTGGGCATACACACTGAGGAAACCAGAATTGAAAGAGACACGTGTACCCCAATGTTCATCGCAGCACTGTTTATAATAGCCAGGACATGGAAGCAACCTAGATGTCCATCAGCAAATGAAAGGATAAGAAAGCTGTGGAATATATACACAATGGAATATTACTCAGCCATTAAAAAGAATACATTTGAATCAGTTCTAATGAGGTGAATGAACCTGGAGCCATTATACAGAGTGAAGTAAGCCAGAAAGAAAAATATCAACACAATATACTAACTCATATATATGGAATTTAGAAAGATGGTACCGATAACCCTGTATGTGAGACAGCAAGAGAGACACAGATGTATTGAACAGTCTCCCACAGACTCTGTGGGAGAGGGTGAGGGTGGGATGATATGGGAGAATGGCATTGAAACATGTAAATTATCATATGTGAAACAAATCGCTAGTCCAGGTTCTATACATGATACAGGGTGCTTGGGGCTGGTGCACTGGGATGACCCAGAGGGATGGGATGGGGAGAAAGGTGGGAGGGGGGTTCAGGATGGGGAACACATGTACACCCATGGCGGAGTCAAGTCAATGTATGGCAAAGCCAAAACAATGTTGTAAAGTAAAATAATTAATTAAAAACATAAATAAAATTTTAAAAAATCACTGTAAGTATACAAATCTGGGTTACTCTAGCAAGCAATAACAATAATGTTCAAATGCCATGTCTCCTAGCTTTTATGCCGTTTGGCTCTTTAGAATCAACAGATGGTCATTTTCACTACCATTACAATATGACTAGTTAATGAGCCTGACAGAAATTTTAACTTGTCTTTTTAAAGAGAAGACATTTATAATAAAGATACTAAAAAGCCAATGGCTTCACAGTGCATGCAACATGTGCCTACAAATGAGAAACTAAATGTTAATCTGAAGTTTTCTAAGTGTATAAAGAAAAAGCAGTGTGCTAGCCAACACAGTCACTGAACAATAAATCATCATGAAACACAGGCAAATTGCTCCTTGTAGGCTCAAAAACTACAGGCAAAAATGTAGTGTTTCTCTAATCAATGGAAAACAATACATACCAGGTAAAAGACTACTCAAATCTAGAAGAGAAATAACCACAAAAATGAGCCAGTTATATTTTAGGTATGAGTGACAAATGTATTTCATTTTATTGCTTTCTCTAAAGTATTTCAGAAACTGAAGTGTTTTATTTTATTCCACTGTTGGCCATAGTTTGAGCCCTACACACTCCCTTCCCTTTCACCTCAAAGGGAGCGCCTTTGTATGTAGCCACGCATACATCATTAGTGTAAAGATCAGGCTGGATCTGCTCCCAAATCTTCTTCTTAGGATTCAGCTCCTTGTCAGGCTCTCCTGTTGGGAGAGGGAAAATAATACATAGCTAACATATTAACAAACTGTCGTCAGAGATTTCTAGGGAATTGTCCTAGATACAATCTCTGATCTTTAGATATGATAAGAATCTCAATATTTACTTTTAACACTTACCTTATTTTTATGACATCAACACTTTTATATCCTTGACTGGTAAAACATCTTGTCATTTCCTTACAAATGTTAAAGGTATTATTTTTTACTCTTTTAAGAAACAGCTGTACAGATAATTTATTCCCCAAATGATTAGAATGAAAATACAAGATACTGATTTTATCACTACATATAAAAAAATAAAGATTTTGAACAGATGAGAGCATAATTTGATGTGTTGCATTTTTATACATGGCAGAAGCAGCTTATGCTGTACTATATGTTTCTACAAAAAAAAATGACTAAATTGAAGCTACAGTTCTTAAAGATTTCCTACAGTACTGGAAATAACTTAAGTGTTAGGGTTATCTAGCTAAATATGATAACTACTCTGAATTTCATCTGCTGCCTATTCTACTTGGTGAGATAGAAAGAGAACCAGCTGAATGAGAAAAGAAGCTTGCAAACAATTTGGCTGATAAGGTGCTGATATCTAAAATATATAAAAAACTCATACCACTCAATACCAAAAAAAACACCCCATTTTTAAAGAGTAATTGGGTCCAAAAGCTAAAGAGTCTTGCACTTATACATGCTTTGAGATTAACCATCAACTCAGATTTATTAAAAAGACTCAAAACTAACTGGAATAATGATCTCAGCAGAGTCTGAATGCAAATTTCCATTTATTATGAGACTAAAACCAGTGCATTCTCAAAAAAAAAAAAAAAAGGAAAAGAAAGAGGAGGGAGTGTCAATATCTGTCTTCTTGCTGTAATATTGTGTTCAAGTTATTTTTGGTTGATACTTTAGGGACTAGATATTGAAATAATTGATTTAAGACTAAAAAAGGAGTGGGGAGGGCTTTTAGCCATTATTCTAAATATATTACGTGGCATCTTCTAAACTTTATGGAAGCAATGGTTTTGTAGTTGGAAAATCATTATTCAAAGCCAATTAGCAATTCAAAGGTTTGAGCCCTGAATGCAATTTCTATACCACACTTACTATAACATGAAATGTAAATCTCTAGACACTGAGCACATCAAATGAACATCAAAATGTACCAGCAGACACCTTAAGCTTTAAAATGTAAAACATATGCTGAAAAATAAAGTACAGATAAATCATGGCTCTCTCTGGGAAAAGAAAAAAAAATACAGTAAGACTAATGATCTGTTGCATACACAGTATTAACTGTTATTTCCTTTCAGATTTACTGCTACAGAAGCAGTAACTGATGTGTATAAGCAGGATGAGAATTAACAGACCTCACGTCCCCAAGTTTATCAATTATTTGATGCTGTTCAGCTTGGTCAAGCATTTTATAAGAGTATAATTCAAACAACTGCATGGGCCACTTAAATGTTAGGTTTTTCCCTTTCACTTTAGAAAATGTTTTATATGTTATCTACATATTCGTTTACTAAAGCACAAGGAGAAACTATAAATATGAAAGGAATTTTAGACTGCAATGATGTAGATATAAACACACACCAACAGCCAAACAGATTGAAAGATTAAAAAATATGGTAAAGGCAATAGCCCACTCTGGGCTGTTAGCATCTCTAAGCTAAGTCACTGAGTATCTTAAAAAAAACTCCACATGACTTAACAGTAATGTCCAGATAATAACAACTGATTCAAGTGCTGAAATATTTACCTGACTTAACAATTTACATAGAAAAATAAAACTTAAAATGCAATCATCTTAAATATTTAAGTAAAAAGAAGGCAAATATTAACCTGAAAAGACAAACCGAGATTTTTTTTCTTTTTCCTCAGCGTATGCTGAATCTTAAAAGAAAAAGCTCACTTCTATTTTCATTCCATTCCAATTTAGAAAAATAAAATTTCAGGTGCGTCAGGTATAAACATGACATCCTAACCAAAAGCACAAGGTTTGGGGAACTGTTTTGATTTCCTGGTAAGCAGTGGTGATTGTGTCCTCCTAGAACCAAAAGGCAATATAGTCTTTTAATTTCTGTTTTTCCTCTTAAGAGGTCTTCCACGTTTATGAAAGAAATGTTTATTCTACATCTGCCAAGCATCCTTTCTTTACTGCTTCAAAAGACCTATTTGGAGAAACTTTCTCACATATTAGGAAGCTTCATCTGTCTCAGGAGCACTTTACTAGAGAGAAGAAACAATATGAAATGAACCTTCCTTTTAGATTATTAAAAAAAAAATGAATTTCAACTTAGAGATTTCCTCTAAATCCTAAAGGCTAGTAAAAGCATATGCAAGTATATTACTAGGTTGACTTTGAGAATTATACATTTTTGGCTCCCTGTCTGAACTTTTCATCTCTTCATTTTTCTGTTGAATTCTGAGATAATCTAAACTTAAATGATTTTGTAGCACATTAACTGGTTCTCTATCCATATCACACTCTTATGTAGGTATCAAAATTAGTATTTCACTTAGGGTACAATCTCTCTCTGGTGCTTTATGCAATTTGAGTGTTTTATTCAATTTGTTTTATGCAAATTGAGGAATAATTAGACAGTTGTGCTTAATGTACCATCTTATGTCAATCTCAATAAACAAAAATATCACTAACAATGCCCATTTAGTGTAAAGTCTTACAAGTCATATACAGGAGTGATTTTAAATTTAAACATTCCAAACATAGCTTTCAGAACCATGATTCCCAAACTACAAACAGTAACTAATAAATACTTACCAGGGAAAGCATCAAAAGTAATTCTGTCCCCAGGAACAGATCCATTAGGAGGTGCCAAGATTTCTACTTTCTCTGGTGAACTTGCACACATCACCATTGCCTGAGATACTACTCCCCTCATCTTTGCAGGTTTCAGGTTACAAAGTAAAACCACCATCCGATTTTGCATCTGTGTGAAATATACATTGATGATTAAAGATGTACAAAGATTTAGAATAATCTTATCTAGAATACATTAAGGTACATCTAATATGCTAAATATCAAATGTTTTATTTTTGTGGCTGTTTTATCCTTATCTGTGTCCAAAATCTTTTATGTTGTTAAAGAAGCCTTATATCAACATGAAAAAAAAAATTCTACAAACTGACAATGCATTATAGATCAAACAGCAGAGGCAATCATATTTCACTTAAAAATAAAGAAATGACTGAGTGAAACAGATTTGGTTTTAAATTTCATTGCTAGTTCTCATGTACTAGCAATGAGACTTATAAAGTTGATCTCCCTGTTTCCTCACAAAATGAGGGAAATGATATAAAGACACCACAAGGATTAAATCACAACATATATATAAAACATTTAGCTTAGCAATAGCACTAAAATAAATACATGTTTTTTTTCTCCTACATGCTTGATTACTTTCAATACTATGCAAGATTCATTTCCTAAATTAAAAAAACACTGATCACTTTACAATTTAAACTTTATGCACAGCACAACAGCGACAGCTATTTCTATAATTTGTTACAGAAGTAAATAGAAATTTCTTTAAACTTCAAGAGTTGAAGTCTCAACTTTTTCCTCAATGAGCAAAAATAAGGGACACAATTGTTTAAATTCTTTCAGTAGGTTTAAAACAAAATAACATACAAGAAGGGTCACTGAATGTGGAGACAAGACACATTTTAGATGAAACATGGTTTTATAAATAAATGTTATGTACAAATTTATCCCCCACATTCTAAGATTTTAAAAAATGAACCTAAGGTTCAAATGGAAAAGGCCCCCTTTTTGGTGATCTTCATGAATTCTTATTCTCTTCAGACATTAAATGACGTTAAGATGCCACATATATGGGAACGTAATAAAAAAAGTTACATCAAATATGTACAAGAAAAACAACAAGGTTAGCCAGATGCAATCTGTTAAGAATCACATGACAGCTGTAGACTTTTACCTTAGAAAAATAAACAAATGTACAAAATTTGGTATACAGTTTTAAGGAGCTAAGTGCAGTTACCTTATAGACTGCTGACTAATACTGACTTGATGGTTAGATACAGATATGTATATAAATCACTTTGCATATGGTTGTGAATGATAGCTTTTAGAGAAGAACTAGTCTGTAACTTAGGAGAACAAAAAAGTTGAAGCCCCAATGAGGAGGAGTTTTTTGAATTTAAGCTGGCTCAAGATCAATTGGTTCTTTCTCCAGGGCTCCGCATGAACCTAACTTCATAAGTTGTTATGAGAGGGTCCTGGTCCTATACAAAATGAATGTTCAAAAGAAAAAGCACACACCAGTGTCATCTATCTTTTTTCATACATAAGAGAAATTTCTCCACTGATCTCCTTAATTCCATCTTTCTTCCCTCAACAAAGCAACCAGATGATAATATTAATATGTGAGACAGACCATATTACCCCTTAGCTCAAAAATCCTCCAGTGGCTTTCATCTCATTCAGAAAAAAAGCCAAAGTCTTTACAATGATCTGTAGGACCCTACAGCATTTGGCATCCTTATCTCTGACTTCATCTCCCATGACATTTCCCATTATTTAGTCTGCTACAATGACACTGGCTTCCTGCTGTTCTTTGAACATCTCAGGATAACATCTGATTCAGGGCTGCCTGAAAATGCTATTCCATAAGACAGAACAATTTGTTTTCTTCATTTTCTTAGACCTTTACTTAAATACCACTTTGCTCTTCCCTGGCCACTTTTTTCCCCTAGCTTCAGTATTTTCTAGATTCTTTCCTTACTTTATTTTTTTCCTGATATTAACACACTACATATCATGGAAGTTCTGATTCCCCCATGGGGATATGAGCTTCACAAGGGATATGAGCTTCCCATAGGGATATGAGCCTTTTGTTTATTTTATTATTATTATTATTGGCAGTGGTGGGCCTTTGTTGTGGCACGCAGGCTCTGAGCTGCAGCGTGCTACCTTTAGAGCACACAGGTTAACTAAACCTGCTGCTACACACAGAGTTCTTTCTAGTTGCCCCATGGATGTGGGATCTTAGATCCTCAACCAGGGATCAAACCTACATCTGCTGCATTGGAAGGCAGATTCTTAACTACTGGACAACCAGGGAAGTCCCAGGGTTTTCTTTTTTTTTTTTTTAACAAATCTATCATTGATCTATCTACCTATCTTGCTTTCTTTCTTTCCATTCATTTGCCTACAACAGTTTCTGGCACTGTGCGGATTCGCAGTAACTATCAGCATCTAGAAATAAGAATGAATTAACTTAGGGACTTGAGCAAGTTCACAAAGTCAATCAGCAAGAGACTTGGCAAAGAACCAAGAGGCAGAACTATTTTAATGTTGAAGACTATGGTCTTGCAGTATCTCTGAAGTACCATGGAGCAGAGGAAATAGGTAGATGATGCAAATTACTATAGAAGATGTCTAGAGAGAGCAAGTTAAAAATTATCAATGTCTTTGACATTGGAAATATAGATATATTTAAATATCTAAATAATAAAATTTCAAAACATGCTATTTTTAATGAATAAAGAAATATCATTAAAAAGTTCAAGTTCAATCTTCACAATCCCCTCTCCTCTTTCTTCTTCCAGTATGAAAATACTTGAGTTATAAAGATAAAAAGCTTGTTTTCTTAATTTTAGATTGGTGCTTTCTGAGCTTATATAATGGTGATTTTTAAATTAAAATCAGGGAATAAAATTCTATGATGGAACAGTGATGATAAAATAACAAACTAAAAATACTTTTAAAAATTGAGAAAAAATAATACATCATTTCTTCTTTCTATGGTCATGACTTTGATCTTAATTTACAGATCTTTTACAAGTTTTTGATAGTTCTGTGCATTTTTTGGTGGATTTATCATATTCAAATAATCAACTGAATTAATCAATAATGACTCATGTTGTGTGGTTTGATACAAAATTACAGGAAAAAACATTAAGAAAGAGGGACTGACACCAAAATACATATGTAGAAATAATTTTAGTTATATAGATTACCTGTTCAAGAGGAACATGATTAACCAGGCCACTGACCACTGTTCTTGGGGCTGTTTCTCCAACATCTACTTCTTCTACATACAAAGAATCTGCATCAGGGTGTTTTCTGGCAGTGATGATACAACCAATTCGAAGATCCAGACGGGAAACATCAACAGGCTTAGAGTCAGCACTTCCTGCTACTGGTTGCTGTTTTTTCTCCTTTTTCTCTCCTAAAAAATAGTTACAAAGGGTAAATTTCAGAAGTAAAACAAAAATACAGTATGAAAATCTCCACAGTATTGATTCTGATGAGTTCAAAAGAAAAAAAAAAAAAAAGAGGGTTTATTTTCTATCTTCATTTAAGTAACAAAGGAAAGAATTATCCATGTCCTAACATCTTGAATCCCCTCTAAGCTATTTCTCTGTTGAACTGTCTATATCTCTAGTTAAAGACACAGAGTAGATGTTGGTAATCTATGGCTCAAGGTCAAATCCAGCCTGCTGCCTGTGAAATAGTTTTACTAAAACAAAATCATGTTCATTAATTTATATATTGTCTATGCATGCTTTGGTACTCTGGCAAAGTGGAGTAATTTTGACAGAGACTTTATAGCCTGTAAATAACCCTCTATAGAAAAAATTTCCCTTTCCCTGAAACAGTGGGAAAAAAATCCTTTAAGATTTACTGTGACTCTATAAGAGTAAAAAATTACTTAGAAAGAATATCATAAGTAGCCAACTGACAGCATGAACTACAGTCAAATATAATTTCACTGATAAAATGTGTCTCTCACCACTTAAACATACCAGTACATATACAGTGAATTTCTCCATTTCTTATACTCCTCTGAAGACTTATTAGGACTTTAGATTTGTCTACAGAAACTAGTTAAGTGGAAGAAAACATTTTATTCTGATTATGTTTTCAAAATTTTACTTTTATTTTTTTTTCCATTTATTTTTATTAGTTGGAGGCTAATTACTTTACATCATTGCAGTGGTTTTTGTCATACATTGAGATGAATTAGCCATGGATTTACATGTATTCCCTATCCCGGTCCCCCCTCCCACCTCCCTCTCCACCCGATCCCTCTGGGTCTTCCCAGTGCACCAGGCCCGAGCACTTGTCTCATGCACCCAACCTGGACTGGTGATCTGTTTCACCCTAGATAATATACGTGTTTCGATGCTGTTCTCTTGAAACATCCCACCCTCGCCTTCTCCCAGAGTCCACAAGTCTGTTCTATACATCGGAGTCTCTTTTTCTGTTTTGCATATAGGGTTATCGTTACCATCTTTCTAAATTCCATATATATGTGTTAGTATACTGTAATGGTCTTTATCTTTCTGGCTTACTTCGCTCTGTATAATGGGCTCCAGTTTCATCCATCTCATTAGAACTGATTCAAATGAATTCTTTTTAATGGCTGAGTAATATTCCATGGTGTATATGTACCACAGCTTCCTCATCCATTGGACTGCTGATGGGCATCTAGGTTACTTCCATGTGCTGGCTATTATAAACAGTGCTGCGATGAACATTGGGGTGCACGTGTCTCTTTCAGATCTGGTTTCCTCGGTGTGTATGCCCAGAAGTGGGATTGCTGGGTCATATGGAAGTTCTATTTCCAGCTTTTTAAGAAATCTCCACACTGTTTTCCACAGTGGCTGTACTAGTTTGCATTCCCACCAACAGTGTAAGAGGGTTCCCTTTTCTCCACACCCTCTCCAGCATTTATTGCTTGTAGACTTTTGGATAGCAGCCATCCTGACTGGCGTGTAGTGGTACCTCATTGTGGTTTTGATTTGCATTTCTCTGATGATGAGTGATGTTGAGCATCTTTTCATGTGTTTGTTAGCCATCTGTATGTCTTCCTTGGAGAAATTTCTGTTCAGTTCTTTGGCCCATTTTTTGATTGGGTCATTTATTTTTCTGGAGTTGAGCTGGAGGAGTTGCTTGTATATTTTTGAGATTAATCCTTTGTCTGTTGCTTCGTTTGCTATTATTTTCTCCCAATCTGAGGGCTGTCTTTTCACCTTGCTTATAGTTTCCTTTGTTATGCAAAAGCTTTTAAGTTTCATTAGGTCCCATTTGTTTATTTTTGCTTTTATTTCTAAAATTCTGGGATGTGGGTCATAGAGGATCCTGCTGTGATTTCTGTCGGAGAGTGCTTTGCCTATGTTCTCCTCTAGGAGTTTTATAGTTTCTGGTCTTACATTTAGATCTTTAATCCATTTTGAGTTTATTTTTGTGTATGGTGTTAGAAAGTGTTCTAGTTTCATACTTTTACAGGTGGTTGACCAGTTTTCCCAGCACCACTTGTTAAAGAGGTTGTCTTTTTTCCATTGTATATCCTTGCCTCCTTTGTCGAAGATAAGGTGACCATAGGTTCGTGGATTTATCTCTGGGCTTTCTATTCTGTTCCATTGATCTATATTTCTGTCTTTGTGCCAGTACCATACTGTCTTGATGACTGTGGCTTTGTAGTAAGTCTGAAGTCAGGCAGATTGATTCCTCCAGTTCCATTCTTCTTTCTCAGGATTACTTTGGCTATTCGAGGTTTTTTGTATTTCCATACAAATTGTGAAATTATTCGTTCTAGTTCTGTGAAAAATACCGTTGGTAGTTTGATAGGGATTGCATTGAATCTATAGATTGCTTTGGGTAGTATAGCCATTTTGACAATATTGATTCTTCCAATCCATGAACACGGTATATTTCTCCATCTGTTTGTGTCCTCTTTGATTTCTTTCATCAGTGTTTTATAGTTTTCTATGTATAGGTCTTTTGTTTCTTTAGGTAGATATACTCCTAAGTATTTTATTCTTTTTGTTGCAATGGTGAATGGTATTGTTTCCTTAATTTCTCTGTTTTCTCATTGTTAGTGTATAGGAATGCAAGAGATTTCTGTGTGTTAATTTTATATCCTGCAACTTTACTGTATTCGTTGATTAGCTCTAGTAATTTTCTGGTAGAGTCTTTAGAATTTTCTATGTAGAGGATCATGTCATCTGCAAACAGAGAGAGTTTCACTTCTTTTCCTATCTGGATTCCTTTTATTTCTTTTTCTGCTCTGATTGCTGTGGCCAAAACTTCCAAAACTATGTTGAATAGTAGTGGTGAGAGTGGGCACCCTTGTCTTGTTCCTGATTTCAGGGGAAATGCTTTCAGTTTTTCACCATTGAGGGCGATGCTTGCTGTGGGCTTGTCATATATAGCTTTTATTATGTTGAGGTATGTTCCTTCTATTCCTGCTTTCTGGAGAGTTTTAATCATAAATGTATGTTGAATTTTATCAAAGGCTTTTTTTGCATCTATTGAGATAATCATATGGTTTTTATCTTTCAATTTGTTAATGTGGTGTATTATATTGATTGATTTGCGGATATTAAAGAATCCTTGCATTCGTGGGATAAAGCCCACTTGGTCATGATGTATGATTTTTTTAATATGTTGTTGGATTCTGTTTGCTAGAATTTTGTTAAGGATTTTTGCATCTATGTTCATCAGTGATATTGGCCTGTAGTTTTCTTTTTTTGTGGCATCTTTGTCTGGTTTTGGAATTAGGGTGATGGTGGCCTCATAGAATGAGTTTGGAAGTTTACCTTCTTCTGCAATTGTCTGGAAGAGTTTGAGTAAGATAGGTGTTAGCTCTTCTCTAAATTTTTGGTAGAATTCAGCTGTGAAGCCATCTGGTCCTGGGCTTTTGTCTGCTGGAAGATTTCTGATTACAGTTTCGATTTCCTTGCTTGTGATGGGTGTGTTAAGATCTTCTATTTCTTCCTGGTTCAGTTTTGGAAAGTTATACTTCTCTAAGAACTTGTCCATTTCTTCCAAGTTGTCCATTTTATTGGCATAGAGCTGCTGGTAGTAGTCTCTTATGATCCTTTGTATTTCGGTGTTGTCTGTTGTGATCTCTCCATTTTCGTTTCTAATTTTGTTAATTTGGTTCTTCTCCCTTTGTTTCTTAATGAGTCTTGCTAATGGTTTGTCAATTTTGTTTATTTTTTCAAAAAACCAGCTTTTAGCTTTGTTAATTTTTGCTATAATCTCTTTAGTTTCTTTTGCATTTATTTCTGCCCTAATTTTTAAGATTTCTTTCCTTCTACTAACCCTGGGGTTCTTCATTTCTTCCTCCTCTAGTTGCTTTAGGTGTAGAGTTAGGTTAGTTATTTGACTTTTTTCTTGTTTCTTGAGGTAGGCCTGTAATGCTATGAATCTTCTCCTTAGCACTGCTTTTACAGTGTCCCATAGGTTTTGGGTTGTTGTGTTTTCATTTTCATTCATTTCTATGCATATTTTGATTTCTTTTTTGATTTCTTCTATGATTTGTTGGTTATTCAGAAGCGTGTTGTTTAGCCCCCATATGTTTGAATTTTTAATAATTTTTTTCCTGTAATTAAGATCTAATCTTACTGCACTGTGGTCAGAAAAGATGACTGGAATTATTTCAATCTTTTTGAATTTACCAAGACTAGATTTATGGCCCAGGATGTGATCTATTCTGGAGAAGGTTCTGTGTGCACTTGAGAAAAAGGTGAAGTTGATTGTTTTGGGGTGAAACGTCCTATAGATGTCAATTAGGTCTAGCTGGTCCATTGTGTCCTTTAAAGTTTGTGCTTCCTTGTTCATTTTCTGTTTAGTTGATCTATCCATAGTTGTGAGTGGGGTATTAAAGTCTCCTACTATTATTGTGTTACTTTTAATTTCCTGTTTCATACTCGTTAGCGTTTGCCTTACATATTGCGGTGCTCCTATGTTGGGTGCATATATATTTATAATTGTTGTATCTTCTTGTTGGATTGATCCTTTGATCATTATGTAGTGTCCATCTTTGTCTCTTTTCACAGTCTTTATTTGAAAGTCTATTTTATCTGATATGAGTATTGCGACTCCTGCTTTCTTTTGGTCTCCGTTTGCATGGAATATTTTTTTCCAGCCCTTCACTTTTAGTCTGTATGTGTCCCTTGTTTTGAGGTGGGTCTCTTGTAGACAGCATATATAGGGGTCTTGCTTTTGTATCCATTCAGCCAGACTTTGTCTTTTGGTTGGGGCATTCAACCCATTTACAGTTAAGGTAATTATTAATAGGTATGGTCCCGTTGCCATTTATTTTGTTGTTTGGTGTTCACGTTTATACCACCTTTCTGTGTTTCCTGTCTAGAGAAGATCCTTTAGTATTTGTTGAAGAGCTGGTTTGGTGGTGCTGAATTCTCCCAGCTTTTGCTT